ATCAAGGCCTTGTTTAGATTGACCGAAGCTCCTCCCGCCGGATCCGTCGCGGCGGCCAAGCTCATTTTTTTTGACCCGCGATGAATGAGTACCACTTTCGTTTTATTTGACAAATATTTTCTGTTGAATCGCCACCGGAGGACCAACTCGCGGAGGCGCCAAAAGATTCGCGGATCCTGATTTCCAACTAACCTCGTCGGTAGATTAGTTATTTTTTGCTTGCCGGAAGTGGATTTAGGTACTCGCGGGGAAAGATGAAGCGCCGCAAAATGTGATGTGGCCGAAAGAAGAGGGCAAAAACTTGAAATTTGGAGGTGATCTAAACAAGGCCAAGAAATTGCACTCCTGGCCACGTCTGCAAGAATAGGTCCTGCCATAGCTGATATCCTTGCGTCGTGCCGCATAAATTCGCTGGCGCCATGTCCACGTTTTGACCGCTTGTGTGTGCTATGGACGGAGCTAGTCACGGAGGCCGGAGGCCAATCATGCCGGCACTGCGCCCGGCTGACCGCCAATGTGCTGCACTGTTCCACGCACAGGATCGGGCAGCTTATCCTGTCAGTCAGTCGCATCTCATCCGTCCTGCATGGGGCTCTCACCCACCTACCACAGCCGGTCCTCCACCTCCTCGGCAATTTTCTATGGCGCCCCGCCTGTGAGGCTACGCCAGCGCGGACCCCTATCATGCCATTCTGAGAGCTCCGCCCGCAATTGAATAATAATGCCCGCGCGCGCGCCCTCCACGTCGCCCCGGTTCTAGCTAGTCCTCGCGACCGGCCCAAAAAATTATTCTGCACGCGACGAAAGCGCCCTCCGCCGCACGTCACGAGCCGAGCTCCCTCCCTGGGAAACGGATGCCGTACCCATGCGAGCACAACTCCAGCAAGCCAGGGAGCGAGACCCCGTGCGCCGGCTCGCTCCGGCCGCGGTGGCGCCCGTTGCGGACTGGATTGGGTTGGGTTTGACGGTTTGATAGGTTTTGTTGTTCCGGTCGCCATCGGTACCTAACGTACGTGGCGTCACGGCGAATGGGAGACCAAACAGAAAAATACGGAGAGCGTCGGCGTCGCTGGCGAACGAGTTTCTCTGCTCGGCTTTACGCCGGTTCAGAGGGTGTTTTCTATGCGGGGGAACACCGAAAGAGGAGCGTTGTTTTGCACCTGGTAGGTAGGTAAAAACTATAGGAAATTTCTGGAAGCCCGACAGTAGAATAATACCCCCGGCACATGTAACGATGCAAAGCTTCTACAGAGTACGTACCAGCTGCCCAGGTGAGTACTTGAGGCTCGTCATCTTTTGACCACAGTACCACAGCACGGTAGATGATTGGCCGCTGTTAGCTTTTGTGTCCCCGTGTGTGTGTTATCTTGCGGTTCCAGTTTTGTACGTGGGCCGTTCCTATGGACTTCTGGCTTGGTACAGGTTTTTGGGCTTTCAAATGTGCCAAATTGTTTGATATAAGTGCTATCATCATAGCAGGCCGTTTGCAGGGCCCCGAAGTGCATGCATATCATTCTCTCTGGCCCAGGTGCCCTTCAGCAGGTTTGGAAGACGAGGGAGAAACAAGGCCAAAAGCATCCTACTTAGGCTTAAAAAAAAGCATCCTACTTAGGCTTAAAAAAACATCCTACTTAGGGTGCCTAACGGCCGCTCGCTAGTTACATTTGTTTAGTCCTGGTGAGTACTTAAGGCTCGTCGTCTTTTGACCACACCACGGTAGATCATTGGACGCTGTTAGCTTTTGTGTGTGTGTGTGAACAAAGGCAGTGTGTGTTTTCTTGCCGTTCCAGTCTTGTATGTCTGGCTGCAATTTGTTTTGGGCCATTCCTGTGGACTTCTGGCTTGGTATAAGTTTTGGGGCCTGCAAATGTGCCAAATTGTTGGATACACGTGCGATCATCATACCAGGCCGTTTGATGGGCCTCCTAAGTGCATGCATCTCATGCTCTAGGGCCCTGGTGCCCAACGAGCTCTGCTGAGTACTTTACTATAATCCTTCCCTTCAGCAAGGTTTGGAAGATCAGCGTGAGGGAGAAACAAAACGAAAAGCATCTTAGCTTGCCTAATGGTCATTCCCTTGATAACTGGCATGGGAGTCTGGTTAACATCACGAAATTTAGGAAAGGATTGAACCTACTGAGAATTGGTGAACCAAAAAAAAAGGATTAAAATAATCTTTTAATAAAATTAGTAATTGGGATGACCTAGCAATTGACCTCTAGTGAATGGGCCGATAGATATAATTTGGAAAACAATTGGAAGTATTCACATTAGGAAGAAATTTGGACACTTCTTAAATACGGCCGGCCGCTACGCACAGCCGCATCCGTCTTCAACCTCGCATGCTCCACCCCTCCTCCTTCTTCCTCCATGCCGGCGGCCACGCTCCTCCTCACCATCGCCCCCGCCCCGCCGCGGCGTGTAGGGCTTGGCTGGAGCTCCGCGGACGTGGGGCCGCCTTTCCCCTTGCTGGAGCTTGCCCTAGCCGCGACGCACTCGCCCCGACTTGGTCCGACCGCCTCCACTGCCGTCAGGCCCCTAATTGTCCTCCAGCCATCCCCACCACCTGGCATGCCTTCCTCCCCAAAACTTCTCTTTCTGAGCCCGCCGGAGTTGGGGAAGATGAGAGGGAGAGCTCGCCGAAACCCTAGCTCGGGGATCCAGGAGGAGGAGGAGGACATACCTCGCGCGGATCCGCCATGTCCGCCGCCGGATCTGCCCGAAGACTCCATGCCGTCACCGGATCCGCTTGTTGCAGTTGGGGAGGAGGTCGCCGGAACCCTAGCTCGAAGATCCAGGAGGAGGAGGAGGACATACCTCTTCAGATCCGCCATGGCCGCCGGATCCGCCCGAAGATTCCATGTCGTCGCCGCATCCGCTCGTCGGAGTTGGCGAGGAGGTCTCCGGAACCCTAGCTCGAAGATCCAGGAGGAGGAGGACATACCTTGTCGGATTCGCCATGGCCGCCACCGGATCGGCCATGTCCGCTGTCGGATCCACCCGAAGACTCCATGCCGTCGCCGGATCCGCTCGTCGGAGTTGGGGAGGAGGTCGCCGGGGAAGAGAGAGGGGGGAATAGAAGAGTCCATGCCGCTGCCGGATCCGCTCGCCAGAGTTGGGGAGGAAGTTGCCAGAGATGAGAGAGAGAGAGGTGGGTGGGTGCGTGGGGAGTGGATAGTCATGCGCGCGGGCGGAGTTGCATGCGGGCAGCCGTTCATTGGCCCTTAAAAACGGAAGACCGTATATAAGTCATTGCCAATAAATTTACTAGCTATAGAGGGCTGATCTAAAATGGTTGTCGAAAGGGGATGCCAACACAAATTCGCCAAGCGATTTGTGTCTCTGAAGCCAATGGTAACAGCTAGGTACACTATCATTGACTTCTTTTTTTGTGCTGATGATTGTTTGCCTGGCTGGCTGCCTATTACTATTGATTTAAGAAATACAACATTTGGCAATTGCAAGGTCAAAGATATTGAATCATGAATGGTGTCGCTTGTTCTGAACTGACTTGCAACTAAGATTGTTAAATTCTAGATATCCGCATAAATAACTTGACTGGAAAAAGGAAGAAAACATCATTTGAAGGGTTTTCTCTCAGATTGGTTGTAGGTTTTTCTCTTAGGTCTTGTTTGGATGCATATGTATCAACTTCAATTCATATGTATTGGAGTGGATAGGAATGGAACTTAGTTCAATTCCACTCCAATCCACTTCAACACATGTGGATTGAGATGAATACATGCGCATCCAAACAAGGCCTTAATGAAACACATGCTATGGCATGTTCACGAAAAAAAGATTGGTGGTAGGTTCTCTTACATGGCTCATTATATTCAGGCTTTACCAGAATTTTTTTCTCATTTCTCTCATTTCGTTTAAGTGTTTAATACATGGTTGTTTGTGGGATGCATTTTGTTCAACATGCTCTTGTAGCAGACCATTGTTAAGGTAATGTGTTATGAGTTAATTAAGTTGTAATCATGAAGAGGTTAACCCAGAAGTCGCAATGCATATGGTGGTGTCTTTGTATGGGTTGCTAGCTCTCATTTACACACTAAAATGACTCGCATGCGCTCAACCGTAGTGCGCATAGTTTACTAGCTAGGTCAATGTCAACCAAATAGGCTCGAAAAGGAAAGTCTATAATTTTTGCATAACTATAAGTGATATTCCTATAATCATCCTTGCCTATAACTTTTGAACTTATTTGCTATCAAGCCATGTACAAACATTTCTAAAAATCATGATAGATATCAATATATGATGACAGTTTCCGTTGAATGTACCACCCACTCGACTTATAAAAAAAAGTATTGCTATATGTCAACCGGTTGATTTCGTCACCTCCACCAACTGAATTTGTGGCCGCTAGATCTGCGGCCAGACCATCTCCCTCGTCGACCATGGCTACTGAGGAAGCCGCGGCGGGTAGCAGCGGGAACAAGTTCATGTCCTCGACGACGATGGGCTTGGGGGCACGGGAGCGCCTGTTGCCAAAGTAGTTGTGTCCCCGTGGCCACTAGTAGTGTCATTGCCTGGGCAGCGCCGGTAGCCTCCCTGCTGCTGCTAGTACCCACCGCCGTTGCCACCCTGGTTGTGGTAGCCGCCATAGCCTTGGTACCCGCCACCGTTGCCCAGGTTGGGGAAGGGAAGGAAGGGAAGGGAAGGGAATGGAAGGGATAAGGTGGGGTGGGTCCCACCACAAGTTGTGAATATTTTGTATGTTTTTTGAAAATTGTGAATAATTTGATAATATTTGTGAACAATTTGACATATATTCTCTGATATCCAGGAATCCATAAAAATAATTCGGTTGAGACCCAAAACAACTTAATATCACCTAGACAAATAAAAAAATGTACCACCCACACATATATAAATGTTCTTCCATAGTAACGTGTTGACACTCACCTATAGACTATAGTAATAAATAGAAAACAATTAAACGTAGCTGATAGCGCCTTCTCCCCAATACACCTTCACCACGCTCTGTTGCTTCACGCGCCTTTGGTGGTCTCGGCCATGACACCCTCGAAGCGCCCAACCAAATCCAGCAGGTTGCGGTGCGACGACCCGCCCTCCTTCATGGCCGCTCTGGCCTTGACAGCCAGCGCGCGGGCCCGCCGCCTCCTCCCCTTTGCCTCCTCCCCGCCGCCCATCACGCTCCTCACGGCCTCCTCCACCACGTTCCGGCCGACCACGATCTCCTTCTCCACCACCTGGTACAACAGCGGCTCCGTGATGCCGACGCTGACGCCGATGCCCAGCACCTCCACGGCCATCTTCTGGTTCAGGAACTGGTCCGTGAAGTGAGGCCACGTCACCACCGGCAGCCCCACGGTGATGGCCTCCATCGTGGAGTTCCACCCGCAGTGCGTCACGAACCCGCCCACCGCGGCATGGGACAGGATCAGCACCTGCGGCGCCCACCCCCTGATGAGCAGGCCGCGCCCGGCGACGCGCGCCTCGAGCTCGTCCAGGAAGGCGCGCACGGCTCCGTCGTACTCGCCGGCGTTCCTGATCACCCAGATGAACGGGTGCCCCGACGCTTCCAGCCCGAGGCCGAGCTCCACGGCCTGCTTTGCGTCCGCCTGCGCGATGCTCCCGAAGCTGACGTACACGACGGAGTCAGGCTCCTTGCCGTCCAGCCACCGGAGGCACTCGTCGGCGTCGATGTCGGTGGTGTTCCCTCTCTCGCCGCCAGTGTCGTTGCGGCGCGCTGGTGGTGGTAGAGCGACACCGGCCCGACGGTCCAGACTCTCATCCCCCGGGCCGCCGCGTAGCCGGCGACGTACTCCGGCTCCATCTCCTCGAAGGTGTTCATGATGACGCCGTCGGCCTCGGCCCGCGCGCGCTCGACGTAGTCCGCGAACTCCTCCCACCACGGGATTGGGATCCCCCGGAAGAAGCCCGGGGCCTGCGCCCTCGTCACCACGATCCTTTTCTCCAGGCCCGGCACGACGACCGGCTCGTTGTCATCGGCGACACCGTCGTACGCGTTGAACCGCTCGACATTGTGCTGGCACAGCAGGCAGAAGGCGCACATGCTGAAGAAGCTGAGGCGCGGGACCCCGAGGTTGGCCGCGAGCACCGTGGTCCACGGGTGGCAGAAGTCCGCCACGACACACGTCGGGTACGGCGCGTGCGCGCGGAGGTAGCTCTCGATCGGTGCGCGGAGGAGCGCGACGGCCTCGAAGTAGTTCTGCGTGTACTCTACCGGGACGTTGTCCATGTTGTCGGCGCCTTCGGGCAGGCCGGCCTGGGCGTAGTCGAGTTGGAACTCGACGAGCCGGACCAGCAGGCCCGACTGCCGGGCGGACTCGATGCTCGGGCGTACCCGCGCAGACGTGGCCGGGGTCCCGACGATGGTGCAGACCGCGCCGTGCGTGGAGAGCAGCAGCGCGGTGTCGACGGCCGGGATCAGGTGGCCCTGAGCCATCAGCGGGACGAACACGAAGTGCGCCGCCTGGGTTCGTCTTCCGCCGGTGTCGTCTGCGTCTCCCCGGCCGTTGGTTGCCGCTTGTCCTTGGCTACCCATCCTGATTTCTGGCGGTCGTCGTGCCGCCGACGGGGGTTGGGGCAGTGATGACTAAGTGTTCTTATCGGCTGCTTTCGTGCGTGTTCTAGTTTGCTGCGCGTGGCATCTATAAAAGACCGCGTAGAGCTTTGTTTGCGTCGTTAACCCAGCCGGCCAAGGCCGGCCGGTCGGCATCTATGTCCTCAGTCAGGACTGACGTCATAATTTGCGGACGCCAGGATGACAGTATGACACTTGTGTGAATTGCGAGACTGCAATGTTCTGTTGGTACTCCATCTCTGCATGGTCCTGACCAGTACGAAACGAGTTGCCGAGTCAAAGGACAACAAATATTGGGTTTCGAACGAAATCCAACGTCAACTAGCGCAAATACTGACTAACTTCAATTCGAAGCTGTCTTCCTCGGCTAGGAGCCTAGGACCTATAACTACTACAGTACCTCCTACAATCGATTTCCCACACCAGGGATCTCGATTGATTTAGATGAACGCAAATTGATAAACCCAACTAGATCTCTTTGGGCCACATCAATTTTTGGTCTTTGGTCATGGTTTGGATTGGTCTTTGGTTTTGTAGAAAAAAAAACACTAATTGGTTTGGTTTGATTGTAAATCACGAGATGGATCTTTTGAGCCTAGTTAGTCCATGATCGAACAAAGTTTGTCAAATACACGAATGATACTTCCTCTCATGTCACAGAAGGTTGCAAAAATTAGATTTAAATTATGTCTCCAGTTAAAGATTAATAGATAAACCCAACTAGATTACACTTTGTAGTCTTCTATTTTGTGCCACTAGGATACTTCCTCTGTCACAGAATAATCGTCATTCTGAGATTTAAATTATGTCTCCATAAAGATTGTCGTTATAGACTTTGGTCTCACGATCCATTAGCCGTAGCATGCAGCCTTATCCCTTTCAACTCACTTTTTTTTGCTCAAAATCTGTGATCCCCTTCTTTGGCTGTCGCGGCGTCGCCTCCCTAGCCTATGCCTTCCTCTATCGGTGCCCCTCGCCACCGCCCCTCCAGGCCTCTACTTGTCGTCGCCTCCTCCACCGCACCTCCCCGCCCATCATCGCCTCCGTCGCTGCTACCTCCCACCCGTCGACTCCTACAACGTCGCTCTCATCTTCTCCACCAATCCCTCCCTCGTCTACGGCACCCCGCCGCGGATGGGGCCAGCGAGGAAGGATCCGGCCACGGGTGCGACATCGAGGAAGGATCCGGACATGGTGGGACGGCATAGAGGTCGCGGTGCGGTTACAAAGGTCGACGAGGGATGCTATTTTAAATTTAAATCAAGTCAACTTTTCAAGTTTGACTAAATTTATTGAATGTAATATCAACAATTATGTCTCTAAATAGGTCTATATTTCATAATTAATATAATGGTGCTTACATGGATGCAAATAGCCTTGCACGTGAATCTATAAATAACCTTGCAAAATTAAGTCTATTTATGGTTCTAAAGCTTGTTTTCATCCCTAGGTACCTATTTGGTACCATAAATGTTAATATTTTTTATAAATTTAATTATTTGACTCTTTGAAGTTTCTTCAGAACAAAAGGAGATTATATATCTACGTAACATCTGAGCAGGCCCTTATAACATTAACAATCTTAACTATCAAAGATAGTACCAGATATATTGACTTTCACTAGCAAAATCATGTTGAATTGTATCAGGGAGCAACCACGCAGTTACGCCGGCACTCGCACTTGGTCATCCAGATAGTTAAATACTCTAATGTCAGTCATTTAGGCCACCAAAAGCTTATATATAATATTACTAAATAGTACTAGAATTTCTTCATCTAGGCCCCGTTCGCTCGGAGGAATCTGGAGAAATTTATGAGAGAAAAACACTGTTCCAAATGAAAAAAAAAGCGGATCAAATCGGGTTTAAGGGCACGCGAACGGGCCATACCAACTACGAGACTGGGTGCCCCCACTGGCACATGTCATCGTCACTCGGTAGCTTTCTGAATTTTTTCCCCAAAGACGGTGAAAACTATTGATTGTTGTAATATATTACACTAGAGAAAAAAAAAGCTAGAACGACTTAAGCACAATCCTACGTGTACCATGAGCCAATCGATGGTTGTTGGTAATTTCTGGTTCTATCCATTCTAAAATAAGTGCATCTCGTTTTTTGAGGAGTCAATTTTTTAGTTTGACAAGGTTTATAGAAAATATTTATAAACATTGGTATCTCTTAATATATTTATTATAAAAATATATTCCACCATTAATTTGCTAATATTTATTACACACATTATTAGTACTCATATTATTAGTACTGTATATTTATATATATATTATTAGACCAATCTTAAAAATGGTAATTTTTTTGTAAAACGAGATGTATGTACAGTTTTTTTATTTTATTTTTATGGAGGGAGTATACATCACGGGACCATAAAAAATACAGGATTGTAACTCACATGCTCACGCTGACGGTGCAGGCAGTGATGATTTTCAATCCAATCCAACAGACAAAGTTTGAAAATCACTCACTGGCTTTCATCAAACAACTTTTGCCGCTCCGAATCCTAAGCATATCTCCTTTTAAGATGGCACGCACATCCACCTAAAGTCTACAGCACACCAGAGGGCAGAGGCAAGAAAACCACAGCTCACTCGGGAAGACGACGAGCAGGATGACGAGCCAAGTGCCAGCGTCTATCCTTGCCCGGGGAGACGCGGAGGATGACGGCGGCCGCACACAGGCGGCGCACTTCGTGTTCGTCCCGCTGAGAGAGCAGGGTCACCTCATCCCGGCCGTCGACACCGCCCTGCTGCTCGCCACCCACGGCGCGCTCTGCACCATCGTGGCGCCGCCGTCCACGGCTGTGCTGGTGCGACGGACCGTCGAGTCCACCCAGCGGACCGGGCTGCCGGTCCGGCTCGTCGAGTTCCCGCTCGACTACGCCGAGTCCGGCCTGCCGGAAGGGGCAGACGACGGGGACAGAGTTCCACATAGATACATGTGGAACTACTACCGCGCCATGGCGCTCCTCCGCGTGCCGATCGAGAGCTACCTCCGCGCTCACGCGCCGTACCCGACGTGCATCGTGTCGGACTTCGTCCACCCATGGACCACGGAGCTCGCCGCCAACCTCGGCGTCCCGCGGCTGAGCTTCTTCAGCATGTGCGCCTTCGGCCTCCTGTGCCAGCACAACCTCGAGAGGTTCCACGCGTACGACGGCGTCAAGGACTCCAACGAGCCGGTCGTCGTGCCGGGGCTGGAGAGAAGGTTCGTGGTGACGAGGGCGCAGGCCCCGGGCTTCTTCCGGGGGATCCCAATCCCGTGGTGGGAGGAGTTCGCGGACTACGTCGAGCGCGCGCGGGCCGAGGCCGACGGAGTCATCGTGAACACCTTCCTGGAGCTAGAGCCAGAGTACGTCGCCGGCTACGCGGCGGCCCGGGAGATGAAGGTCTGGACCGTTGGGCCGGTCTCAACGTACCACCACAGCCGCACGACACTGGCGTCAACGCTGGCGTCGAGAGGGTTGAGGGCCTCCGCCGTCGACCCCGACGAGTGCCTCCGGTGGCTCGACGGCAAGGAGCCCAGGTCCGTCGTGTACGTCTCCTTCGGGAGCATCGCGCAGGCGGATCCGAAGCAGGTCGTGGAGCTGGGCCTCGGGCTGGAAGCGTCGGGGCACCCGTTCGTCTGGGCGGTGAAGGACACGGCCGACGAGTACGACGAGACGGTGCGCGAGTTCCTGCGCGAGCTAGAGGCGCGCGTCGGGGCGGGGCGCTGCCTGCTCATCAGAGGGTGGGCGCCGCAGCTGCTGATCCTGTCCCACGACGCGGTGGGCGCGTTCGTGACGCACTGCGGGTGGAACTCCACGCTGGAGGCCATCGCCGCGGGGCTGCCGATGGTGACGTGGCCGCACTTCATCTCCGACCAGTTCCTGAACGAGAAGATGGTCGTGGAGGTGCTGGGCACCGGCGTCAGCGTCGGGGTGAAGGAGCCGCTGACGTTCCAGGCCGTGAAGAAGGAGATCCTGGTGGGGCGGGACGTGGTGGAGGAGTCCGTGCGCAGCGTGATGGGCGACGGCGAGGAGGCCGAGGAGAGGAGGCGGCGGGCGCGCGCGCTGGCGGCCAAGGCGGCGTCGGCCGCGCTGGTGGGCGGGTCGTCGCACGCCAACCTGCAGGATCTCGTCAATCGTTTCGCACCGGGGCCGGGCACAGTACGTGGCGCCGCCGCGTGACTGATGTAGTGAACGTTAAAGAACCCAAATTGTAGCAATATACTACGGAGGTGGTTGCGTTGTCGCGTCTGTTCTGGTGTTTTCCTGTGTTCAACAATATATAATCTCCGCAAGTTGCCGAGGTGGTTGCGCCCTTGCTGCCTTCCCGCTGTTCCGACTCCATGTGTGCTGCTGACATCCGGCTTACTGAATGCCGGCGCCGTTCACCTATTCCGCCAGTCTACGCAAGTCGGCCTGATCATAGGTTTAACGGTCTAACCAACTTGACTCGAAACGTGGGAGAAAAGTTGTTCTGACCAGAGTGGTTTAGATGGACCCAGGACATGATTTTTTTTTTGACCCAGAACAACTATTAGATCAAGCACGAACTACAGTCGCGACCTAACTTAAAATCAGAGTCAACCAAAATACTAGAAAACCTAAGAAAAACTCTCCCTGAATCGCCAGCTCTCCTTGCTATGGCTAGACTGCTAGAGTATTCGTTGGGAGCACGGGCCAAAAAGTCAGATCTGAAGTCGGGGCTCAGGTTATGTTCAGACCATAAAAAGGGCCTGGTTTTTCCTAGCCCGACTGATTCAGCGCTAGTAGTCAGGTTTACGAGATGATTCAGACATTCCATTCGCTTGCAAACACTTTAGGTACGGTGGTTGTGACTCGTCGTGCTCAGATAGTCAGATCGTCCGTGTATATATGTATTACTCCACCGATTTTAAGATTAACAAAGCGCTCTGATCGTTAGCATGCTCCAAACATAGCAAGACGTCCACTACACCGCAACCCTAAGATTAGCGATGGATGGTCTAACGCTAAAAGTAACTACAGCGACAGACAATCTGATGCTAAAAAGTTATAACGACAGACTTCTGCAGACGGTGTAAGTCCTGTCGCTAAAAATCTTTAGCGACAGACAGTACTTTTAGCGACTGATAGTCCGTTGCCCTAATTTTTTTTAACGACAGATAGTCCATTGCTACTTTTTGGCGACAGATGCTCTGTTACTAGGCATATACCGACAAATCATCCAATAGTCCATGTATTTATAGCGGCGGGGCGGGCAAGCGGGAGCTTTGGGGGCGGGGCGAGGCGAGCGGGGATGGGCGAGTGGGAGCTAGAGGGCGGCGACGGGCATGAGACTGTGAGCGGTTTGGGGGTGGGGCGGGCTGGGATCTGGGAGCGCGACCTGAAGGGCGGTGGTGGGCGGGAGATTTGAAATTTGGCAAGGCAGGCGTGATTTGGGAAAAGGGAGAGGCGGCGGGCGCAGTGCGGGTTAGGCGCTCGGATTTGGGATTTGGGCTAAGGTTTCAGTACTCATGGGCCGAGCCAATATTTGCCCGGAGATGAATGTAAAGCCTTGTGAGCTCAATATGCGTCATGTAGGGTGGGGGGCTATTTATTTTTGGCGATGCATGATTGATGAAGATACCTCATTTTAGCGTCGGATAGTTAAACGTTAAATATGAGTACCTATGACGACAGACAACAAATCACTAAATGAGGATTTAGCGTCAGATAGTCTGTGAATTACTTTTAGGGACAAATCATCCATCGCCAAATATAATTTTTAGCGTCAGATATTTGACGGTGATGCGGTGTTATGGTGTAGTGGTCGTGTTCAGATTCTGCATATATGCATTACTCTATCGACTTTGAGATTAACAAAGTGCTCTGGTCCTTAGGCCCTGTTCGCTTGAACTTATTAGCCGACTTATCAGTTATAATCTACAGTATTTTTCTCTCACAACAAAACAGCTTCAACCCGCTTATCAGTCGACTTATGTATCAGCCGAACAGAGCCTTAGCATGCTCCAAACATAGTATGCATGTACACTGACTTATGCTAATTTCGATATTAGTAACAAAATCACAATAGATGTCTCACAGTTAAAGCCTTAAAGGATATATGGGCTAATATTAAAAAAAATAATGCCATCAAATCATGAAATGATAGTGTGCCCTTCCTCTTAGCTGTCTGTCCTCTTGTTGTCCTTTGTTTGATTTTTCTTTGTTTGCTCTCTAATAAATTTACTCAGCAATTCTCTTGTTGATTCATGAATATGTCAATTATTATTGAACGGAAATACTACGTGTCGTGCGTCCGATGAACAACACAAATGTCAGACAGCTTTTACACCCCCACCGTTTGCTCCCGCCCACATGTATATAAAAAAGACTTATCCCTTTGCTTCCTCCTTCCCATCCTTACCCCTTCCCCACTTCTCATCCCTTGTCGCAGGGCACCAACACCCGACATCCCCGCACCCTGGTGTCCTCGTCGGGAGCCCCCAATGCCCGTAGATCCGGCGGCCCTCTCCCCCACCCCGGCGAGATCCATGGAGCACGAGTGAGATCCCCTCGCCTCCGACGAGATCTATGGAGGTGGCGCACCACTGGTGCAGGGGAGTGGGCGACTCTTCCCCACCCCAGCGCGGCGCCCTCTCTCACCCCTACGACTGAGCTCCCCCCACCCTAGCGCCCATGGCGCCCCCTGCTCTCATCCCCCACCGTCGCTACCGAGCCATGCCCGGTGCTGGTGCCCCTAGTGGTGGTGGTGCTCGAGCGCGCCGTTGGTGCTAGTAGTGGGTGGTGCTTGCGCGTAGCTGCTCATCGCCCGGAATCGACCAGCCCAGGCCTCTCCCCCTATGTTGCAATGTATGTTTCAATTGTTTCAGACGTTTCAGAGGCATGCTGCAATTGTTTCATATGGATATTGTAAAAGTATATCAGGGGATGTTGCACATGCTGCAAGTGTTTCAGATGTATGTTGCAAGCGTTTGTTCAAACTGTTTCATCTGTTTCCAGACGTATGTTGCAAGCGTTTTGATCTGGATGTTGCATATGTTTTCACACATATATTGCAACAGTATGTTCCAAAATATTGCATCTGTTTCAGTCTTCGGTTGCAGCAAGTGTTTTCATGTTGCATGTAGCAAGTGTTCTATCTGGATGTTGCATATGTGTTTTCACACATATGTTGCAAGTGTATATTCTAGATGTTTTATCTGTTTCAGATGTATGTTGCATTCAAGTGTTTCATGTTGCACGTGTTTTCTGCTGTTCGGAGAGTCAAGGGTGCCTGGGAATGGGGTGGCGTGCAGCGCGCTGGGGCTAGTGGTCGGGGGCACGATGGAGCGGGGGTGCACCTACGGAGGCGGGGCGAATAAATGGGGATATGGCGGTGTACGCCGGAGGGGGGGGGTGCACGGATGGGGGTGGGTCAGGCGTCGGGGCGGGCTTCTCAAGCGTGCGAGCGGGCATCCGATGAAAAACATTCGCATCTAACGTCCGTGCGCTAGCATTTTTCATTATTAAAAGAATAGCGTACTTAAGTCCTAAAATAGACTTAAAAATGAGATGACTTAATCTAGATTACCAAGTTTTGTCTAGAACAATCAATCCGCTGAAACGACCGTTTAGACGAACTGTGGCTACGCGATAACTAGAGATCACCGGTTGATCAATGTGCCACTTATATGAAAATACAGCCCAAACAGCTGTTCAAAAGCGTCGATATTGTGTCCGTTCCTCGTCTCCCCCCGAAGGCCCAACAGCATCAGCGCCGACTCCCGAGCGAGGCGCGCCGCTGCGCCGCCGCCAGCCACCGCCACGCGAAGACGACGGGCCGCCGACAGCTATGAACCCGCCCAGGCCCTGCTAACCCCGATCTCCGTCTCCCCAATGCTCTGCAACCGCCCTCAGCTCCAGGCGTCCAGGCTCCAGCCGGCCGGCAGCAACTGAGCTGCCCACGCACGGCGCCCCAGGACTCCGACCCGCCTCCACAGAAGCGCTCCCTATCCGGCTGTCCGCTAGCCCCTGCCCCTGCCCCCTGGTGAGTCAGTAAGAGTCTGCTTCCCTTCAGGATTAGGGATCGTAAAATTGTGCTTAGGGATTGTGCATTTGTGAAATTGGTGTGTGATTCTATATTTTAATGGCCAGTGGTTTGCTCATTGCATAGCTTAGGATGAAATCAAAGCCTAATTTGTGATTTAACATTGCAGTTAAGTGGGTCTGATGTGCCATTTTCTGCTTGTCTGTTGGTTGTCAGGAAGTTCAGGCATGAAGAACAGTGCCGTTTCGCTGAAATTTGGCTTATGCTGATTTATTGTGAGAGAAAAACACTATACGTTCGCTGAAAAGTACTGCTGAAGTAGTGCTGCAGAACAGGGCGAATATATATTTTCATTTACGCAAGTTTTGAATCTAAGGTATTATATGAGACCTTTTAAACATATTATCTTTTTTTTGTTATTTTCTACTTGTATAACGAACGATTTAAATAATCTTGTATATACCCAACTATCTACCGAATTATGTATATGTATTGCCCTGGGTTCAAATCCTAGGTCTACCACTGGAGCCACACCTCCTCCGCCAGATTCCTTAGCCACCAGCACGAAGACGCCTGGATCAGGCCAGTACAAAGCCTCACCGACTGCGGCACTGACAGCCCCGTAATAGTGGCCACAGTGAAAGGTGAATGCCAAGGCCCCCTCCATCAGGTCCGGACACAGAGCTGCCGCAGTGAAAGGTGAACACCAAGGTCCCCTTGATCAGTTATCTATTTGGATTCAGTTGATTTAGCTTACCAGTTCGATGGAACTGAAAAAATTGCAGAGCGATCAGTTAACTATTTTGATTATACATGTGTCTGTTTAGCTTATTGGTTAACTGGACGCCTAGCTCTTGCCTCACCAATATTGAAGACCATCTGCTCAGTACACGTTCAGTCATTTTCACGACAAAATCCTCAGAACACTGCTGTTTTTTTATTTGTACTGCTTTTCCAGCTTTACAATATATTGGAATGCATGCCTTTTTTTTAATTGATGGTCAATCTGGTGGAGTGACTTGAGTGATTCCTGTAAATTTGGAGATGCCCTATCTTAAGCCGCCACCACCATCATGTCTTTTTCCCTGCTTTTAGCTTTGCGTCTTTATACCCGTGTCTATATTCAGTTCCAGAGTCTACGTCTACTTATTTTAGAGTTAACTATTAGTATATT